CCCGCAAGCTAACCAATTTTTCGACACTCAATAGAGCCAGTACCGCAAACATTGTTCGGTTAAAGTATGTGCTTGCGTACGAAGACACCGTTGACTACCTTTACGGAATTGCCAATATTGCAACCTGGTCAATGGTTGAATCAGGCACTGGGATCGTGGCTGGCTCGCTGCCTGCCATGGCACCTCTGATCAAATATATCCCTATAATCGGCGTCGGTTTTGTCAGTGTTGGCCGGGGTCAGGATACCATAAACTTTGGCACAACAAACCTAAGACAACTCGGACTTGACACGACTATGCATACTATCGAGAACACCTCTGCATCTCCTGGAAATGTAATATGTAACGAAAGGACACAGTAGGCTGAAGGGAACTACGCGCAGGATACCTGGATAGCATGGCACGCGAGAGCGTCCGCGCTGTGCTATATGACCTCTTATAGCGAGTATCAGGTCACTGTTCTATTCGTTTCCGCAAGAGAGGTTCTCTATGCTCCACCCAAATACAGGAGAGCTGCATAGAAGCAGTTAATAGATTATAGGCCCCAAAGAACTATTGAGGTCGTGAGTTTTGTAATGCTTACTTTGTGTTGAATTTAAATCTGCCTTTCTAGTATATTGTCAAAACAGGCGGCATGGAAAACCGATGGAAAGGGGAGGAGATGGTCAGATTGTCAACCTGACATCGGCGTTTCAAGCGCTTGGCTTTCCTGCTATACTTTCATGGGGTCGTAATTCAAGTTGACAACGTCATTGGCGCGCGGTACAGCCTGCGGCCCGAAGAATACAAGAGTCATGGACGGCAGAGAAAGCACCAATGGTAGGCGGAAAACATGATGCTTACAGCCTTCCTTCGCGCATTTCTTGTCCAACACTAGGCTTTTCTCGACGCTGCTAGTAGGCTAAGAATTCAGGAGGATTTCAACACCAGAATCTTGAGTTCTGTGTTGGTTTGTACTAAAAAGAAAAGATTAGAATAAAGAAAGAAGATACACAGCGAGAGAGAGTGGTTGATAGACAAAACTTTCGAGGGTTTGTGATCTTTCTGATCTTTGCGATCTTTGTCGCTGCAGCACCCTGGACTCAGAATTATCGTTGACTGCCCCAACAAATAACTCTCCTCCGACTCGCTCGTTTACCAACCAATACGATCGCGAGTAGAAAACGGCACTCATCTGGCGCTTGTCTCAGCCTAACCAGCAATGTTCAGGGGTAAAACTGGGTCAACAGGATTGTGATGGACAATGTGTACTTAATAAGGTCCATGAGAAAGCGTACGTATCTTTAGCCAGATGCTCAAATCAGGGACTCACCTATTACAATTCGCTCAAAGAAAGGGGAGAAGCCATTTAGAGCCTCCTCCTAAACTACCCTTCCCCTCCGTCATCATCGTTGAAGGTGACACGAAACGTGAATCTATGCCACTAGGCTATTTCGGGATAGTTTTCGACGGCCAGTTACGGTGGGAATGAGCAGGGGCTTCCTAAGGAATCCTGTGGCCATGCCCAGAAACAGGACCGGTCGCTCCGTAAGGCACCGGGGTGCTTGGCCAACTCAGTTCGATAACGTGGCGACCGTCTTCTTTTGGTGTTTGGCCCTATCATCTCTATCTATGAATCACATCTCAAAATCTGTCGCCTGTCAGTGATAAGTTCTACGCATGATTGTTGCAACGAGTGTCAGCATTTTATTCCAGCTGCTTGTCCATCCTCCTGGCGCTACCCCTCAAGAAACGTGCCGGCAGGCTGCATTAGTGCTCACTCATTCCCCATTTCTCAGCTCTCGCCTCAAAAAGCCCTACGCACAGTGAGTTTCTGCGTCCATGGTTGGTGTCCCAGGCAAATCGACCGCTTGTCCGGATTGCCGGAAACGAAGACGGCCTGTAAGTCGCCCATCGCGCTTTCTCGCTTCGTATTACAGCGCATTTACTCCGCGTGCCTGTCTCGATTTCATCATGCCACGATTGGGGCAAAAACTGACCATTTTCAGTGCGACCGTGAACGGCCAGCATGTGGCCAGTGTAGGAGAGCGGGCGTTGAATGTGCAGGGTATGGAAAACCCTGGATTTTCGTAAATAGCACCGTGGAGCAGGATGATGGAATCGTCCTAGAGTTAAGGAAGAAATCATACTCTATGGAACTGGAGCCGGTGCCGAAACCGACAAGCCGCCCCCTGGAGAGGAAATTTATCAATGCCATCAAGGCCCAGATAAATGGCCGCCCAGTTGTGCTTCCGCAATCATTGAACCGGACTTCTTATGAGGAAATATTCGTTGAATCCTTCTGGTCGACATATCTTCCATCACCGCGCGCACAGTCATCTAAGGAGGCAGTTCTCTACAACACAAGCGACTGGATACATGTTGTTAGAGATCTGTATCGCGATAATGGGCCTTTGCGTATGATATTCCTTGCCAACTGTGTGGCGTTGAAAGGCTTCGAGGACAATAAGCAATGGCTGGTTGAGAAGAGCCATCAAATGCATGGGCGGGCTTTGAATGCTATCGCGCGGTCTCTCTGCCATCCCAGTGCCTATAAGAGTGACGCGGTACTGGCGGCGGCTAGAATGCTTATATTGTTTGAGGTAAGCTACTTCTATCCCTAGATAGAGGCGTTCTAGTTCTTAATTAAGAACACAGATTTGCTATGGCGAGAGCCTTGTGACTGCAACACCTCAGTCGCGAAGATGGCACACCCACGGAGCGGGCCACATGGCCATAATGTACTCGAGAGGTCCGCACTGCTACAAGCGCGGTTACGCCCATCAGCTTTTTGCCGATGCTCGATTACACCAAGTAAGTTGATAACCTCCCGTCGAGACATAAGGCCGGTGCATTGATTATATCATCTACTAGTCAGTCGTGGATGGGTTACTTAGGCGAAGATCACTTTTATGCACGCCTGAATGGAAAGAAATCCCATTTTTGGAAACGGGGAAGAGGCCCAAGGATGAACTCATAGATGTAGTGGCTGAGGTCGGCGGACTGTTTGAAGACGCAGACAACGTCCGGCTGTTATCCGACCTTGATGAGATCCACCGAATCCTGGAGGACGTTACGAGCAGGGCCTGGTCCTTGAATGATGACTTGGACAAGTGGGCAATGGGATCAGGTCGTCGGATTATGGAGTTCATGGCCCTGCATCTCAATGTCGTTCCGACAGAGCCGCCATCGAACGAAGAGTTGATGCTTGGCGATCTCGGGATGAACTACCTAGCCTTTCGCGTCATTATCCATGCCTTCCTGGAATCCATAGCCCAATACTTCCCAAATTCACCAAAATCGGGTGAGATTCAGCCCATGGAGTACTGCCGTCAGATTGGACAGTATATCCCATTCTTCCAAGCTGCCAAAGCGACAGTTTGGACTATCCACATGTTGGCTCTTCCGGTCGGCTCTGCGCTTACATACCTCGAAACACAATCAAGCAACGAAGACGCACTCGAAGTCAAGTTGCTTCTGACTCGAGCCATGAGCGGGAAAGCAAGTTCTGCTATCATCAGGTTTTTAAAGATGTTGGAAAAGTACGAAGGGGGCGCTCCTCGCATATAATGGCAGCAACCTCGATGAATTCCTCAGTTCTTATTTCTCAATTCTGCTAGCTTTATGATTTTTAAGGATAGATTTGAATTTGCAGAGACGTAGAGAAAAGTTCATCATCATGCTACCATCTCATCAAATCTTGATTTGTGCAGACCAGCTGAAGTTTCATCGAAGGACTAGGTCTGCCAGCTTTTGCCCTGTATATGGAGCTTTAATGAGCGAGTTAGTTTCTTCATATCCAGCGTGATATCCATCTATCTCCATCAATGATCCCGATGAGTTACTCAGTCTAAGTAGTAATTAATGCTACTATCCAACTCGGAGGTACAATATGTAACTGGGGAATTTATATCTTTTGCTGATGATTTCCAGCCCTTCCTCGGATTATCTCTATGTTTGTAACTCTAGTCGATAAGACGTCGTCGTACATCGATATAATCTCACGCCCTAGAGGTCAAAGTTCTTACCTAGACATCCCAGAATCTATGGAAACCAATGATTAAATGCTATTTTTGATATCTTGAAATGGTAGTATTTGTGTGTAAAAGTAGGTTAAGAGGTATCAGCAGGATGTGCCAGTGCGGCGGAGAAATAGATCCGGATTGACATACCTACCTACCCTAAAGTCCGCTCAAACCGCTGCTGGGAAGAACATTACACACTGGGATGTCAAATCCATATGGGAAATCCCAAGGCATTTGAACGCTGTATCAAGAGGTTTTATCAAACATTATTGAGGCGTTTCTTTTTCTTTCCTATTTTCTTGTGAAGGAAGTAATTACTGCTTGGGCATCTCAGACCTGGAAATTACCGAGAAATCTGGGAGCCTTCTTAGCGATAATCCCATCTCCCTGGTAAACTAAAACGAGGAAACGAAAAAGCAAAAAGGCTCGATGACATTCAAAATCAACAGTCACACTCTCTCCATCAGATACTAAAGCTTAGTAGTTCTGTGAACAGGAAGCCGATTTTGCCACAATACTTGCGCCGTGATCCCCAGCAAAAATAATTCCCGTGATGCCTCGTGATACTCTGGTAGTGGCGAGACTAGGCACTAGCCCTGATCTGCTTTAGCCACAGAACTATCTAATTACTATTGGATATTACCCCTTCCATCTCGACTTCATTGAAGACAATCCCAAGCACCCGATTGGATCACTGTTGGGTTCTCTCCCTTTTCTTCCGTGCCAAGAATAGACGATGGGCTAGAACTGCGTGAAGTGGCGGCGGCATGGCGGCGACTGGCAGATGAGTCCAGACGGGATCCAGCGAGGCCACGCGAATTCCAATAGTCTGGGGTTCGATGCAGACCATTGTGCATGGGCAATCGAGTCCATCGGCACTTCAAAGGGATGGTGTTTCTCTCAGAGATTCTGTGACCAACTCAAATCTCCTTCGTTCAGCATACCACATCCGTGCTTCGGCGCAATTGCACTCGTTTGAAACCCATTCTGTGGACAATGCGCTCTCTTGTTGGCCTGACGGCATTTGTCCTGGCCCTGGCTGGGTTGCCGGATGCCGCGTTGGCCAAAAAGACTTGCAAACCACGCTCCTCAGGCGCCTCTCTGACGACCACCCAAACGGCAACCACCACCCCCGGCACAGGAGGACAAGCTCCTCGAGGCGTACCCAACCTTGTGATCAATGGCAACTTTGTAGGCTATGATCCCAGTGTCGCGGGTGGACTCTATGGATTTGAAACAGACGGGGACGCTCGCCAGGTCACTGGCATCGGATACACTGGCGATGGCAGCCAGGAAACCGCTTGTGCATACTTTACTGTGCCCGATTCCCGCAACAATAACGCTGGTGTTTCCAAGCGCGACGGCGTTGAAAGCCCGCAAGTCGCCAGCATCCGGCAATGGTTGAAGGAGACGGATCGAGAGAGCGTCTACACGATGCGTGTCTGGTACTACGTCGACTACAACAAGTTGGCCGACACTTGCAAATTGGTTGCCACCTACGACAACAATGTCTTCGTCGAGTCGCCCTACTTTCCAGTTGTAGCCAAGGACTCTGGGTCGTTCAGCTGGTCGCCTCTGATCCAACAGAGCCCCGTCCTTTCTGACAGCGGCTATCTCAAGTTTGAAGTCCAGTGTATCGGAGGCGGTGCTGCCGACGTCCGGTTCGACCAGGTCTTCTTTACCAACGAGGTCACCCTGAGGGACCTCGATGATATCACGGTCATTTACGCCTCATTTGCTGATACTCCAACGGTGCCCCCGACTATCAGCTCTACCGCCACTGCTCCTGCTTCGGCAACTGCGGTTGTGAGCACCGACTCATCTACTGTTGCTGTTTCTTCTACTGTTGGTGGTTCTACGGCTTCTTCCGGGACTACTGCTTCCTCGGCCGCAGGTTCAGGAACCCAGATTGCCAGCTCCACCAGCTCCTCCCCACCCTCTGCTTCATCTAGCCTTGGGGGAGACAACACTTGCATAATTTTGGGTCAAGCCAGTGTTGCTGGCAGAGGGTGTGCCAAACGGCCGTATTCTGGGTCTTCTGGATACAAAACCTTTCCAAATCCCGATATTACCAAGGATCAGTGTGCCGCTCTTTGCTTGAGCGACTCTCGATGTCAATCTTTTCAATGGAGCACTCAAGGCTCAGGATGCCAAAACTATTGCTCCTTACTGGAAACTTCTCTTTCTGCTGGCTCTGCCGACAACGGTGGGCTTGGCTCCCCTTGGGCCTATGACCGATCTTGCATTACCCAGTCTGTGTGTCCGCAAGCCCCTGACGACACCGTCTGCGTTAATGGTCAGGGGAACACGCCGGGCGCCGGCTGCACACAATTTCAGGGCGTGGCCAAGGCTTGTGCGACACCATTCTTGACTGTCAGCTTGAGTTTCGTTTGTGGTGTTGGCAATGGGTGCCGAGACCTCTGTGCCCAGACACCTTCCTGCAAGTCTTACTCTTACTCTTATGATAGTACCAATAACTGCAAGTTATACTCGGCATCAGCTTCCACGGTTGGGACTGTTCAAGGCAATGGTAACATTTTGTTCGCGGACACGAGTTGCTCTGCTTGTGGAACAGGCATGTCGCAGTTCAAGTATCTGCCAAAGCTGTCAGACCCGGCGAACATGCCCGTCCTGAATTGCCCAGATCCCTCTGCAACCCCAGCTTCGTCCTTGGTACCGACTACTACCACGCAGTCCTCTCCGTCAACCGCATCAAGCTGCCCCCAGTATGTCACGGCTCCAGGAATGTGCTACGGCGCTACACCTACAGCCGTCGGCTCCGTGTGCAACAAGCGTGGGACCAATTCAAATACGTATACCAAATCGCTGGACGAGGTTCCCAACCAGAGCATCTCCGAGTACTGTGCCCTGGCTTGCGACAGCGATCCTGAGTGCAAGTCTTACGCATGGGATTACAACCTCTCCCCGTTCAGCTGTCAGTTTTCCAAGCAGACGGTCACCGACAACATCGCTGCTGACCTTTTCATTCCCAGTGAAATGGTCAACCAGCGCTGGTACGATATAGGTTGCATGAGATGCGTTCACTGTGGCACCACTTCTCAATCATCGACCTTGCTATCTTCATCGTCGTTGGCATCTTCAACAATTCCATCAGCATCAACTACCACAGCCGCGGCGTCAACACCCCAGAACACATGCCCTGGCGGTCTTGGCTGCACAGCCAAGACATTCGCTCCCGCTGGTGTTTTCTGCAAGCAGCAAGGCCAGTTCACTGATCTTATCGGAGCCTCAGTGCCCGATGCAGTCAAGTTCCCCCAAAAGGCGGCCTCTGCAGAGGAGTGTGCTTCTATTTGTTCTCAGACCAGTAACTGCCGCGCGTCGTCCTTCTCGGTTGCGCAGGGATGCGGCCTTATCACTCAGACTCTCGCACAGGCTAGCTTTGTGCCTGGGAACGCGGCTGACTCTTGGGGTACTGTTTGGAGTGATAATACTTGCTTTGACTGTGCAGCATGTACTGTAGCATCTTCCACAGTGGCCACCCCAATAAGCACAGTATCGTCGGCCATACCGGTGGCTACATCTACTGGAAGCTCAACAGCGACCCCGACTGACTGCTTCGGTCTGAGCTGCCGGGTCACTTCATCTATTGCTGCTGGAGTTTACTGTAAACAGCCTGGTGACTTCCAGGAAGATATTGGTGCATGGGTTCCTGACCCAGTGAAGTTTCCCCTCAAGCCCATTACGGTAGAGCAATGTGCCGCCATTTGTGTGCAGGATTCGAGATGCAAAGCTTCTTCAATGACGTCTAGAGGCTTGTGTCAACTCTTTGACCGCACCCTTAGCGCAGCTCATTTCACACCCAGCACCGTGAAAAGCATGGATGTTTGGAGCGATAATGCGTGTTTTGAGTGTGCATCATGCAGCAGCACATCTACGCCTGCAACGCTTCCTTCGAGCACAGTGCCACCAACAACCACGACAACTACAACACCATCAAGCACCACAGATGGATGCCCGACGTGGCTGCCCGGCCCGGGCGGATGTATTCACTCAACCCCGTTCCCGTCGGGCTATGTGTGTGACGTCAAGGGCACCATTCCTGCGAGCAGTGTCTACACGTACTCTCTGGCGGCACAACCTCTCCAGCGGGGTTTCGGCGACTGTGCCTGGATCTGTTTCAACGACCCGAGTTGCAAAGCCTACGGATGGGTGTCGGGCTCATCGTCAGGCTGCAAGTTCTCAACGATATCCCTAGACGGGCAGCTCACCACAGACTCAACATCAGATACGAGATGGTTCAACATGAACTGCCCCCAGTGCTACTCTTGCCCGAACAAGCCTCCTCTCTCGACAAAGACACCAGTGTCCACCTTGCCGTCCACTACGTCAACTCCTACGACTTTCGGTACAATAACCACACCAGCTTCATCAAGCACTGATCTCATCTCGTCTTCCAACAGCGAACCAATCATTACACCTTACCCACCGGTGACCACAACGACCACTGCTGCGACAACAACCACATCGGCTCCGATTGCGGCCCAGACTTGCTCAGCTCCAGCTGCTGTGCTCCCCGACGACGCAACTTGTGGTATTCCCGGTAATGGCGGCCAGCAACTGACGAGCAATCGACTGGACAACTATGTCATTAAACCTGTAGGAAGCCTCGCTGCCTGCGCCAAAGATTGTCTAGCTAGAGCAGATTGTTTGGGATTTTCTTACACAAAGGACGATACGTCCTGCCGACCTTATAAGCGCGGGACATCCGATCTCGGGATCACATATGTCCCATCGAACTCCATTCGGTACTATGACAGAGCTTGCTTCACATGCCCATCTTGATTACATATAGGGTGAGGTAGTGAGCGGTATTATAAAGCGGTCGAGCCACTTACTGTGAAATACTTGAAATTAGTCCCAATTGAATACATCCATGAGAGCGAAAATACGTACCATCTAGATGTACGTGAAGTTGATGGAGTGCTGTACCTGTAATAACAATAAAATACTATTAATAGTAGTTCTCTTCCATGGTTTTACATGACCAAGATTGACACTGGTAGGCATGTAGCTTGGATTGTTGATAGTAAATAATTCGTAGTGTCTTTGATCGCTGGTGCCTCGAGTTGCGAGGAGTACTCCTTGGAGTCAGTCTAATATTTGGATCGTTGTCTGGCAGACCGACCTAAGCTGTATCTATTTGAAAATGTGACTGAATTAATTAGATAGAAGCTGGATGGTAGAATATACTATGCTACTCATCATACTCAAGAAGGGACAACTGGGCCTGGTCCCATCGTTTCGTTGCCGACGATGACTTTCCAGTAGTTCAGAGCAAAGCTAACAGCATCAACCATGTTTTCGCCACTTCCCCAGCCATTCCAAACTTCGTCCATGTACTGATATGAAGTTGACAGTGCTCCCCAGATATAGGGGAGGCCATCAATCGTCTCAAAGAGGGGACCGCCTGATTGCCCAGCAGCAACATCGGCATCAGTATAAAATGGGCCAGTACCATCACAGTTCCATTCTCTTGTCGTGATATTGACATTGTCGATGCGGTATGGCTTCTGGTAGTTTCCAAGATCCCCCGGATACCCAACATGGGTAAAGCCACCTTTTCCAATGTAGGCCTTGTCATTCTTCTTAACACCCAAGTACCCAGTCTTAAGGCCAATCACATCGTCAAGGGAGAAAATAACGAAGTCATTCCTCACACCACAAGCAGAGCCCTCACCTGACGTAAGTGTGAGATAGCCATCGATAGTAGCCTGGGCAAGGGCCACTCCGCTATCATAGCCGGGCGTAAAGGTACCCTTCACACCGCTTTGCCTACAGTGAGACGCGGTCAACACATGACGCGGGCCAACCATGGCGCCGCTACATCTGATGCCGTTTTCATAGGCAATCCTGCCAATGGCGGACCAAGGGTACGCGTAGCTGGAGTAGTAATAGCGGTCATCTTCGCCATTGATAAAACGCTTGTCGACCGCAAGGCCCTCGGGGATGAAAGGCTCAAGGCGCTGCCCCGTCCCATTCACTCTCAGCTGTTCTTCAGTAACAATGACCTCTTCTACATCTGTAGAAGAAATCTTGGAGATACGAGCCGCAGAGGCCTCATATCCCACTAGATCGTCGATAAGAACGTCGCCGTCATTGCGAGGGATCGTGGCGGCCGGAGCGGTGGAGAACAGAAATGCGGATGCAACCGCTAAAACTGAGGATTTATGCATGGCTTTTAGCTAGGGAAGGTTATTAATAATTAATCAGATGCCAGAGCTCAAAGGTAGATGGTTGGAATACTGCTGGGAGATGAGTTTGGGCGGGTGAGGGGAACAAGACGCCGACTCGGGAGACATCTTTGCATTATATAGCCTAGATCATATTGCGTATGCAGGTTATGAGCATATGACTAACAGCCAAAATGTCAGATGATCCTCCGGGTGGTCTCGTCGAGAATAGGATTTCCCTTAATTGCAGGTGTTAACGCTTGAGTGACTTACATGAGATCCCGGAAACGATAGAGCCTAGTAAGTAGGCATAATCATAAGCGTAAAAGTAAGCCCCATAAGCTTTCCCCCTTGTATAGCAGAAATGACACCCACTCTGTGTATATTGCATATCCCTGGCCATGAGACGATGGCCCCTGGTGGCATTGACATAACAATTTGTGGCAAGAAGTCTGGTACATGGGTCATCTGAGAGCTTGAATTTGCTATTGTATGCTCCAGTTGTTTATCGACTGTAGGTTGAGCGTAGAAGTGGTAGATTGTAGGCAAACGGCAGAGGAACGAGTTGTCTGTCAAACGTTTAGAATTCTCTGTGCTTACGAAGTGTTTTGCAACAGAACGTTGTACAATGAAATAGCCCTACGGTCAGCTCTTTTGTTCCTTCTATATTAGACCGAAAGTATATTTAGTAGGAACGGGTTCGAGAAAAAAATAAAATTATCGATTCGATTGGGAAAACGCCGGGGCAAACCGAGCCTATCGGAGAGTGCCAGCGTGCGGCGATTTCCAGATACGTTAGTCTCCATCCTTGGCCGTAGTTTCAAGGTCTTCATTCCTTCTTGTTTCCAGCTTCCTTAGGAGACCAAACACGTGCTCGTTAGCACTTTGAGCGAACGACTGAGGAATTATGTTGAATTGAACACTTACCAATTTCAGAGCAACAAGGAAGGCAACGAGGATTCTTCCAAAATACGCCCACTTGCGTTGTAATAATTATGTTTATATGTGCCTATGTATATCCAATTTCGTGAAATCTTGCTAGAGAAAATCCAAGTCCTTGAGTGACCTGTGGATCATTATGACAAGCGTTGTAAATATTGGCCAAGAACGCTGTCTCTCTTACTTTGACTGGAAACCATTTGGGAACTTGTTAACTAAGGCCTGGGTAGCATGCCGCCGAGTACAGCCAGCATCGTATAGATCTCCTCGGTCGTCAAAGCGGGCCGTCAAAGTTGTCCCATACTCCCTCTGCGACTGTTTCCTATATGTAGTACGGTTTAATGGAGCCGAGATTCCAACTTAGTAGTTTACATAGAGCATACGGGTCGGTGATGTAGATTTTTAAGAATTCTAATCACCGCGCTCGACCTCCACTTTGATGATGTGCAGTTATTTTTGGCCATTGGCTAAGAGGAACATCGGCTCAAAACTGTCGCAACTGATTTTTATCTCCATTTACCCCTTGATTTCCACCTGTATCTCCTCTGATGACACTTGCGGCTGTGGGCTGTAAACAAAACTCCTGCGCTTTCTTACATATATCCTAAATTAAGTTAGTAATCCTCGGGCTCTTCAACAACAAGACTCAGGAACTCTACAAAGACACCTAAAGGACTTGACTCACATGATACCCCCAATAATAGCCATCAAAATAGGGACTCCTAAACCGACACTCAAGCCAACGATGAGCTTGTTGCTTACTCCACCCGAACTCTTGTCGAAGAAACCACTTTCGTCATTTTGTTGCTGCTGGCCCCCGGTAGCGCTAGGTGTAGGTGAGCCAGAGGTGGAGGTGTTGATGCCTATTGCATTATCACCAAAGTCCTTGGTGCTTGTTACCTTTGTGACAATCGTCTCGGGCCAGGTAACAGAGGCTCCCGCTGGCGCGGTCGTGATCAATGTTTCCATTGATTGGTATTCTTTTACTATCTGAGCCGAAGCTGGACAGTCAATGACCCCAGATTCGATGCAGCCTTTGGCTGTATATGTTTTGTCCCGACTTAGAGTTACCGTTTCTATTCCACTCTCGACTTCATCTCTCTGAAACCGAGCGTTGGCAGTTGCTTGGGCTTCTTGACTTAGACAGGTCTTGGCAAACGTGGTTGGGAATATCGGCACTTCTGTTTGGGGCCTTGGTCCCCAGGTTTGCTGCCCAATGCCGACATAAGCGCCAGCTGCTGCGCCAACGGCGAATTGAAAGGATTCTTCGATCTGGAGCGGGCAATCTTCTTCGCCAAGCGCCGTAATGTTGCTCTTCAGATCAGCGACGTTGACATACAACTTAGTCTCTAGCCCGGCAGATGCTTTCCAATCCTCAGAATTAAAGGGCCCGAGCTCGATGTCCGGACCAGGAAGCAGATTGGCCTCAAAGGCAAAACCTGCACGGACCGATAATCTAAGGATCGCATGAATGACGGTGCCCGAGGTCTCGATCTGGACGGGAAGGGATTCGAACTTGGCGCCATTCCTGAGGCATCGTTAGCTAGCCTGATCCTTTGGTGACACATAGGAGAAGAGTTGGCCTACAATTCCACGGCCGAGGCCTCCTTGGAGAACATAGCCATCCGTAGGAGAAGTCCTTCGTCGAGCTTGATGTGAAAGCCATGCTCGATTGTGATTTCGCTTTCAAGACTGAGAATCAAATCGACCGAGAAGATGAGACCAAGAAATAGATCATCACTAAGCTCTACTCCTAGTGGCTTGGTGAAGAGCAGAAGAGTGTATGTCAATCCAGCCCCAAACGTAGTGCTTAGCTCGACATAAAGTTCGGCATCATCGAGTGTGAACTCCAGAATGCAATCGGGAAAATCGGGTATCTCCACTTCAAAATTAATATTCGCTGGTGGCGGAATGACAAGGGATGCTTCAGAGATATCAAGATCTATGTCTTCGACCCATCTTGTCAAGTTCCTCATAGTTCCTGAAACACTGTCCTCTAGAGTACGGTATGCCTGGCTGGCGTTGAAGTCGTCTTTCACGGTGATCTTAGCACCAGCATTGCCTTTGAAGTAGCAGAACTTGCAGATGACTTCAATGCTGGCTTCCGCAGTGACGTTCCCAGGTGTTTCTGTGTCCCCTTTGCTACGCAGGACCATTTCAGGTAAGCCACAACTTATGAGGAAATTGATTAGAGTCAAAGATGCACTAACAATTTGAACACCGTCGCATTTCTGAAGCTCTTGTCAATAGAAGTGCTGTTGCTAAATTCTTTGTTGTCCCTTGCGGCATTTTCTAGGCGCCTTCCAAGCCTGGATAGAACGTAGGGTGAAGATGCGTCCATTTGAACAGGAACCGTCGCACTGCCAGCCTTGGCCGTCAACGTGAGCAGTGCCAGTAACAATGTGAGGGTGAGTAGCTTGGAAAGCATTGTGTCATCTGTGATAAACTGATGTCGATAAAAAGAAATTGTCTGACCACTGGGTGAGATTGTTCCCGACGCGGGCTGAAAGGTTTTAAACCGCCTCCGCCTCATCTCAGCCCCCTCTGTTGCTTCCTTTTTGGTAGATATGCTGTTGGTCGCGCTGTTTGATCTTGAAGGATTTGATGTTACAGTAGCCCCCAATTGCGACATGGACTACCCTTGGCTTCACGAGGGGACCGGTTCCCCGAATAGAACAATCCATGTCACCCGCGTCAATATTTCACAATTGCCTGAAAGAAGTTTGTTGGATGTGTCATTCGCAGGGGAGGACGCGGGAAGTTGGTGTAGTTTCTGTAATATTTTCCCTTCTTTCCATATTACAATTTGAACGCGCCTGGTTTTTCACTCAAGCTACAACTTAGCTGCAGGGTGTCATGCCTACTTTTTTGGGTTTGGTTTGGTTTGTTTTTGTGTTTGAAGGGGGCGATCCGCGTAGCACCGGCCCCTGCTCTGTATGGTCCGTTGGTTCTGTTGGTTGTTTAGGTCCATGCAAGATGTCAGCTCGATGGAACTACTGGGCGAGTGGATGTCAGATTACTGGTTGTAAAAGCTGAGCCACTTAATTTGCTCCCTCGCTGCCTCTGCGCATAACATAGCATGTCTTAGGCAACCAAGATTTGCCAATCTAATCAACACCGGGGAGCTCAGAGGCCAAGTTCTACCTTACCCATTGCAGATTGTCGCAGTATATGAATTTGATACTGATTTCAGGATATGCAAAAATACCATACACGTATTTTCACCTCTGGGGTTGGGATATCGGTGCGCTGAAAGTTGAGAAAAACTCAACCAAATATGCCGAGCTCAAAGCAGTGAAAGCCCAAGCGCAGCAATCCCAAACGTTGGTTACCTGCTTCTCTCAAGCCGTTCTGTCGACCGCCCGTCAACTGATTCCCCAAGCCATATTCGTTACTAAACACTTCATCCTCTATGATTGAATCTTAGATGTAGATAGCTACTGATGCTGGGAAGAGAGATCTCCTTCCGTCTGATCACGGGGTGGCACTGGATGATGGGCACCCACTGCCCGCGCCTGACTTGTTAGTAGCGAAGTGAACACTTTGGTGTTTGCTCAAGATCTTGTAGGTTCCATTGCACCTGGAAACTTTAGTTATCCGTTGCAGCACCATCCCATCTGTATTTCTATTGGTTGAGTATAATCTTCTTTCCCATTGTTACACAACATCTCACTTAGGACCAGCTGCATTGCTTTGATTATTTGCAAGTAAGTCATTCAGGTATCACATCCGGATAGCCGTCATGAACTAAGAAGAGAGCTTTTGATCAGTTGCAAGTGAATAAAGATAGACGAGGAGAATAGGTGACAGAATATGAAATCGTGATAAATAAAGCAATGACTCCGCACTTGATTCCCGAAAGTGCTGAAGACAACCTCCAAGGATCGGGTCGTCTGGTTCCCGTCGGATGATTTAGCCCTCTGAAGTTAGGCGAATCAATGGACAGAACTACCCTTATATCCGCGGATTGAGAGTGATGCAGACTGCCGAATTCGATGACTAGCGTTAATAATCAAATCCGAAATTTGGAATTGCAAACATCCGACCCGAGCCACACTCGGAGG